TAGTATTTTTCTAAATAAAATTTCTGGATTTTTTATTTTATAAATAAAATTGTTTTATATATATTATTATTATGTTTATTATTATTTATTATTATTATAACATGTATATATTATTACAATATATATGTTTAACATTGAGCATTTTAGCATATTTATCTAGAATAATTTGGAAAAAATTTTTGTTTCCTGATAACATCTCTCTATTTATTCGATAATAGTCAATTTTTCTTTATAGTTAAGAATGAATAAAAATGAATAGAGGGATATTTAAATTAAAATATGAATTGAGATAAAGAATTTATAAACAATTAATTAATGATTTATTAATTAATAAATTTTTTAATTTTCTAAATAAAACAGAGATCTCTGATATATCTCTAATACTTCCTGTTGGAATTTTATTAATTAATAATGCATATAAAAATCCTTTTCTTACGCTATGGATTATGGTGATCAGCACTATCGTAGCCTGGACCAGAGATCTGCGCCTATGGGGCATTGAATATTTTGGATAGAGTTAATCTGATTTAGTTCCTGGAATTGAAACCGCCATTTTTGAAGAGACCATTTTTCAGTTTGCGGGGGTAGCACTTCTTAGTGCTGCAATTATCACTGTGACTACTTTTGGGTTTTCACATCTTTGATTCCTTCTTCTTCAGCAAATGGCGTTTCTCTGAATTCTCCTTCTGAAATTCTTATTGCTGAATTAATTTGTTTTTATGTGTTCTTGACGAAAGTGCATTTGTTCGCAAAAATTGAAAAATCAAAATTTATAAAATTTTCCGCATACTGATTTTCTTATTTCCCTATTCATTGAATAATAAGACAGTCTTCATTAATGATTTAAAATGAATAAAAATGAATTGGAGAACAATTAAATTAAACAATGGAATAAAATAATATTGTCAATATTTTATACTTATTGATATTGTCAGTCTTTTATACTTATTTTCCGATGAGCCAACAACCTATATATATTGTCGGCCTTTTTTTGTACTGTGAAGGATCTCAGTAAATTTCAGTTTAGGGTTTTGTCGGCCATTGCTACAAGCTATAATATAAATTAGATTAAGAGTATTGCAATTTGCATGGTTGAGATCCAAATTTTATTTGAAAGTAACTGATGCACACCGAATAAATGAACCTATTGTCCTTTACCAAGTTCCAAGTACTAGGAAATTAATAATGAACTATTGTTAGAAATTCGAAGGAAAAAGTATCTTCTGTGTGTAGAAGATTCTACTTGAATATGGAGTGAGGATGTGATTTTTTCCTATAAATATTAAGGCTTATAAATCGGTGATGTATATTTTTATTTGTTTAATTCAGTTTGGCTGTTCTCCATATTGTCAGTTCATTCACATATTTTCAGCGAAAATTTTTTTCAAAAATGCAAAAATTACGTTACCAGTAGTATTACTAATATTCCACTATTATAAGAGAGATTAATTAAGCCACTGTGGTGTGTCAGAACAACTCAGTAAAGTACCATTGTTAAATAAACAACCAATGCTTTGTCTAACAAATGGAACGACAAAATAGCGATCACACGGGATATAAAGCGACATATTAGCGACAATGAACTTATGATAATTTTATCAATTCATTTCAGTACTTTCTAATTTTTCTCCTAACATCATATGCGCATTATATGCACTATTTCGAAAAATTGGAATAAAAAGTATAAAAAAAGGAAAGCCTAAGCCTTATCAACTGCTCAAAACTGCGCAGTGATTAAAAATTCGATTTTTTTAGTTCTTTTATCAATCTAAAGATAAGATTATATAAATAAAGAACAAGATAGTTGACTCCTATATTTCTTTGGAAACTCTTATCAGTTTCAAATTTTCCCTATTCTCTGAAGTAAGAAGAAAAGCACCGCATTACTTATTATTTATTATATCTCTTAAAATTTTATAAAACTCAAATTTTTTGCACTTTTCCTTCAAAATATCATCGCATACAGCATTCCACTCGACTTAATTCTATTATATTCAATTATCGAATAATAGGGATAATTAAATTGTTCAATTTTCACGAAAATTGGTTAGTTGAGGAAATTCTGGCATTTGAAAAAATCATTCAATTCATTCATTAATGGTTAATGGCTAGCGCTATTTTTTTTCCTATGGTCAGCACTAAATTTTTTTTCATAAGGCATTACATTAGGGCAACCTAACTTGGCAAATGTTAGTATATTCTCTTTTTATAGGTGGTGAGGCCTTAGTAACAATTTCGTCGATCATCAAAACGGGTATGGTTATTGAACCAGATGATGACCATCTATACTATCTCAAAAATAACTATGCATTCTTATCGGACTAGATCAGTGGCAATATGAAATTCCTATAAAATGAATACTTTTCATTTATATAATCCGCTTGATTTTTTTTTTAATAATATTTCGCCAACAATTAAATGCCCCTACTAACCACTAAAGGAAGAACCATGGCAAAGTGCTACTAAAATTGAATTCGTAATAAAAGGTATTTTATTAAAATTATCGTTAAAATATTTTCATATTAGTTAAATGATCAATAAGCGAAGAAATCGTATAATATAAAAGTCTTAATTAATAAAAGCATAGAGAATTTATAAATTATTTAATTACAAAAAAAAATATTCAAAAATATTTGTTGTAGTGAACGAATAAATAAAAAGGAACAAAGTTACATTCCAGTGTAAAAATTTTGAGCGAATTTCACTAAAAATTTCTGAAAAAAGCTGAATAAATTTATGGAAACTATTTGCGCCATTTCCGGAGTTTCATTCTTGTATTTCACCTTCCTCATTTTTTCTCAAAATAATTTCATTCAACTTTGGATTGAAATAGTTAAATATTGGTTTAATATTATTAGAACTCATTTCATCTACCAAATAAAATTTCTCGAAAAAATTCTCAATTGATCAACAGTCAACAATAATTAATGGAACTGCATGTCAAATATATTCGTTATCATCATTTCATATCACTGAAAAATCATTTTAAGTTGATAAAAATCATTGAATTTCATGGGAAGTTTTTTCCCAAAGCATTTCTGAAATTACGTAAAATTTAACGCACAAAAGAAGAAATAATTGGATAAGATGAAGTGAAAAGTAGATGTGAAAAGGAAAACTAAAAGAGACAACCAACGGTCAACTAATTCATTCATTTTAATTTAATGGAGAAAAAAAAATTTTTTCCTCCATTCTTGAATTGATAATTTCGATATTCCACACAGTTCGAAATTTCTCTTCGAAATTGTTTAAAGCAAGTTTTGGCTAAATGTGGCGGAAGAAAAGCTGATTAAATCCCTCCTTTTCAAATTATATTTCCATGAAAATTTTGAGGTATAAAAAGTGAAACATAAGCGATTGTTCCTTATTGTCAAATGATAATGATATTCTTTGCCATTTTCATTCTTTTCAATCAACCAGCAGATTGTGACGGTGTGCAAATTGTTCAATGCTCGAATGCAGCTGCACCACCGCGTCCATCCTTGCCAGCTGATTATTGTCGGGACTTGGATAGTGCCGCATGTAGTGCCATATTCCCGTGGACTCAAGAAATTATCGACAGCATGCTAAATCCGTATGTGCCAATATCATCTTTAGTCCTTTTTTAAAATTTCATGGAGGAGAATATTAACGACTGTTATTTAAGCGAAAGGGCTTATCAAGTACCAGATGCCTGTGAGCAACCATCTTACGCAGCACTTAGCATAACGCAATGTCCACGTTCATGCACCAAATGTTGTTTGACAAAGCAGTTCAATTGTTCTAATGGTCGGTTATTCGTGAAAAATGAACTCTTTAAATATACTTTAAATTTAAACCCTAAAGATGAATTTTATTTTGCAAAATTTTTC